GAGACTTGAAAAATGTAAGGCGGTTTTATAGAAGCGTATTTTAATATATATACACGTGTCGCTTGAACAGTCATTTGATGCAGAGTTATGATGACATCTTGCACTCTATTATTCAAAACTTCTCAGGCGATCCTACAAACTCCTTGCCTTCACAGGCACTCATTGCTATTTTTTCCTAACACCTGGCCACCAACACGCTCTCGTTTCTTTTTTTTTTTTAAACGTCTGGCTTTTAGCACGCTTTTTTTTTCCAACGCATGCTTTCCAGCACGCGCTATTTGCTTTTTTTGAACCCTTAACCTCCAGCAAGTGCTCGCTTTATTTATTTTTTTTAACGCCGAGCCGTTAGCGTTTATTTGTTATGTTTTGACGCGTATTCTGGCTGCACGGGCACGCTGGACTCGCCGGAAGTTTTCGCGAAGGTCGACCACCTAATTTCTCGGATTCCCGCAGGTAGCTTCAACCAACGTTACTGGAGCAAGCTCACTTTCACAGCTCCGCCTGCGACGCGGACTCAGTGGCGGTCACGAGAACTAGCAGCGCTGCAGTCGAGTCTTGCTTCCGGTTTGTCTGGCTCGCCATGCTCGAATAGCAATACTTGAGCTTGGGCGAGTTGTTGATTCATACTTACACTTCACAGCGTAAGGAAACAGACGCACACAAAAATACATTTCAAACACTCAAGGAAAGAACACTCACGATGCGCTGACTCTGATCTCTGTGGTGAATTACACTTCATCTTCATCATCTTTTTTTCGCTATTATACACATGAAAGTAAAAAAAGGGCAGAAAAGAAAAAGAAAGGGAAGCTCTCAACACAGTAGTAGCAGACAAGGCGCGAGACAAGGAAGCAAAATTCGACTGCAGCGCCACTAGTTCTCGTGACCGCCACTTGGGCCACTCGTCTCTGCAGGCGAGAATAGGGAGCTGCGAAACTGAGCTTGCTCCAGTAACGTTGCCTTTAACTGCAAAACACCAATTGGGGATATTTAGTGTGTACCATGTCTACGGCAGGGCTCTTGAGCACACCTCAACTGAAAGTTGCATCCCCTGACCCGCTACCAACATTCCAAGGTATAGCCATACGACGCCCAGTTTCTGCTCGAATGGTCGAACGCATGGCCGGCACAGTGGAGTGTTGAAGCATATAGAACGTGAGAACGGCACGGCGTAACTTCCGAACGTCCGGCCTCCAGCACGCGCAAGATGCCCTACGTCAGGGCCTCTTGTATACTCACAAAGCTCGGCAGTTCGACGAGGGAGCCATAGACTGCCGGTCGCAGATTTGGAGCGGGAGGATCTGGTAGCAGAGAGCATTTATCGGGGAACCTGGTATTTAGCGCAGAGCTTTTGCAGCGGCGAGGACCCGACTCGTGGTTTTCAATCTGGACGAGAAAAGAAGCGGTATAGCGCGAGGAACGCGAGGAGCACGAGCGGAGATTCCATCGCTCGAGAGAAGTGTGTTTCGGCGTCTCGCCGCAGCGGGGCGCCCGTTACATGGCTCTTCTCACGTCGGTTGTCTGCCGCTCCGCCTTTTCACTTTCGGCGGCCGCGTCTCGCGGCGATCTGCCAGGCTTTGTCAGTATGGAGAAAGTTATGCTTACCTCTTGCTCTAACGGCGCGTGCACGCACGAAACTCACGAGACGCCGAAGAGTTATCGAATGTAAAAAAAAGTGTAATATCGCCTTTAATAGACCGAGCAAAGCAGGGCGGAAGTAACTTTGAACGCAAGCTAAGGCACAGAAAACAGGGACCAGCCCTGGCCGAGTTAAGGCCGGTTCTCACATGCAGCGAAGCGCTGATGTAGCGCTCCTCACGTGTCGTCAGCTACTTATCGTCTGCCATGAGCAACAGTTTTGACGGTGTGATACAAAGCTGGTGAACGCTGCCGTCAGCACGCGCTAAGCGCGAGGTTAGCGCTATGCTTGTAGCGCTCCGCTGCATGTGTGAACAGGCCTTTACTGTGATGGAAACTGAACGGCGCAAACAGCAGACACAGCAAACATACCACCACCGCTCCCTTCGTGGGAACGAGTCGTGCCCACGCCTAAAACCCCTTTGCCCTCCAAGATGAACAGCGCTAGTCATCCCGGGATAGGAGCGAAATGCGCAATGAAACACTTTAAGGAGGTGGAGCAAACGCAGGACAACGTAACGATCTGCTACACAGAGGCGGCGTACACCCATGAACAGAAGGTGGCGGCCCTCCCGTGGCACACACCGAAAGAAGGAATCACGCGCACGAAGGGGGCATCGGTGGCCGAGTGGTCTAGCGCACACCAGCTCGGAGCACGTGGAGCGAAAGCTCGCGCTGCAGAACCCAGGGACCCTGGGTTCGAGCCCCACCCCTGCCCGTTTTGATCTGGATGAGCATCGTACCGGCGTGCGGTCGTGTATCACTACTGCGTGATGCACGTTAAAGACCCCAGGCTAGCGGCTGTACCGCACTGGCTAAATTTCTCATCTACAGCTGGGAGACTCGTCGCCCCTGTGAGGCAGACCAAGTTCTAGGCTGTATAAACACACACACAACCCAATTTTTTTTTCACGCACACGAAACACTTTACGTTGGAACAAGGTTTCACCGTAGAAGCACGAGCCAAAACTGAGCTAGGAGCAGCACGCGAAGTGGGAAACAATGCCGACAACGGAACCACAGTTCGAATATTGACCGACTCGCGAGACGTCGTGAGAGCCAGTATGACGCAGCTAGAAACGAACGGTCAAACATATATTCAAACTGGTCATAGGACTGGGAATGAGACGAATCAGGTTGTCCATAAAATGGATACCCGGTCACCCGAGCATTGCGGGAGACGCCGTCGGGGACGACGCCGCCACCCAGCTCCTCCGTTCCAACTTTGGCCCGGCGATCACCCGCAAGGCGGAGTCTCGGTAACGGCACCAGGCGCAAGTTACACCCGGTCGGTGCGATGCAACGCGACCGTGCTGGCATCAAGAAGGCAGTCCACCGGACACTTGTCGAGGAAGGTGAACAGTCCGAGGAGGCCATCCCGAAAGGCTGTTGCAGACACCAGACAATCCGGCTGCGTAGACTCCGCGCCAGGGTGGCAATAACGCCGGCCGTCATCAAGAAGTGGTAAGGCACGAAGCGCCAGAGAGCCGAACCGGCCAACGATGTGCCAGACCCTGACTTGTGTCCGTACTGCAAGGAACTCACCAAGTTCGACAAGCGGCACTTCCTGTGGGAATGCAGGAACTTCAAAGAAGAACGAACTGCAACACTGAGCCTCGTTGACCAGCAAGATAGACTCCCAACACTAGCAGCCTGGTACCGTCCCGTCGTGGAAGGAACCAAGAAAAGAGCGATTCTGTCCGGTTTAGCCACGCTATTCTGGACGGGACATCTTCATATAAAATACACCCGCCCAGCAAACCAACGGTTAAGTACGGAAAGAAAGAGACAGTGGAGGACCCCATCTCCCAACATTTACTCCTCGCATTCCAGACCTTTCTATCCCTACCCAAACCTCCACCCGACCCTACCCTAGAGTAAATCGTCCGCGGATGCTTCCCATCACGTCATCATCGTTGACTCCATCTTATTTGGAATCAATAAAACGGTTTTTTCACTCACTCACTCATAGACCTATCCCACCGAGCTTTGCACGCATGCGTCGCCGCCATAATTGTAGTCCACCGAAGGCAGGCGACAGTGCATGCGGCAGCTCGTACCGTCTTGTGCTCTGCTCGTGCCGACGCGCAGCAGGTTTGTTGCGCGTGCAGAAGGTCTGCAGTTCCCACGATGCATGCCGGCAGCGACGGGGTATCGAAACTGGCTGGTGAGATCGGTCTATTCACTGACATTTGTCCCATAAAGAGCTATAACAAAAAAGACAAAAACTGAAAAAAGAAAAACGTGGAGAGCCCAGTCGGTAGAGCTGACGAGTATAGGGGGCAGAATTGCTGTAATCATCCCTATGTTGCTCTGGAATCCAAATTGACAGACGGAAACTTTTGTTTGAACTCATCGGTTCTTGAAGCGACCATGCGCTTCCTGACATAGCCGATGACGTCCCCGGAAGCTATCGCGAAGGAAGACTCCGCTGAGATTCTCACTAACAGCTGTCGCAGTAAAGCGACAGCTGAGAATCTCCGTTGAGATTCTCACTAACAGCTGTCGCAGTAAAGCGACAGCTGAGAATCTCCGCTGAGATTCTCATTAACAGCTGTCGCAGTAAAGCGTTTGTCACAGCGACAGCAGCTCGGCGTTTGAGTATTTGACTATCATTGTTACGCCGCTGTGGTTCCCATGCCGCCTTCTGAGCGCGATCCTGAGGTTCTTCACGCTAGTTTCGCTTCCACTCTCGATTTCGCTTCAGTGCTTCATCCGTAATTCGTCTACAGCAAGTCTCCTCAGCGCGCCGTTACTGAAATTCACCTTCCTCGGATCCGACTTTCTCAGGTATATGTAAATAGTTCATCTGCTCGAATGGTCGTGCGCATGTGTCGACAAAACGCGGTGTCGACTAAAGCCATGATCACCTTGAAGACAAGGCGTGCGTATTACACATCCGCCCAGTGGATTCCCAACCTCACCATTCGGCAAACATGCTGGAGCTCGGAGAGCCGCCACAAAGCGGTCACAGGTTCAAATTTCGCTCGACCGACGGAGACTAGTGTCTTCTTACACACTCAGCTGTGTACCATTTTTTACGTTTGGCTAAAGAGAAAAATCGCGTTGACTTAATATTCTTCTTTAAGGAGGTTTAATAGGGCAGGAATTACGATGTACATTTGCTGCACCGATGAAAAATGCGGCGTATAGCTAGAGTTTATGGTGCAGTTCAGTCTGTATTTTTTAACGTTATGCTTGCAAAGAGTAAGGTATTTTTTCTATATTATTTTTTGTAGAAATGCAGCCAGAACTCTAACCAGTATTTGAGACCCAGCTCATATCAGAGAAGTGCCCTTAAGATATTGCAGGCAGGGTTATTCTAAGAAGCCGCAATTGGAGAATCCAGGGGTTGCGGCAAGATGTTCAATTCGTTGTGCAGACACTTCTACAAGTTACTGGGGGTCATCCTGGCTGCCCTCCTTCTCTTGGAGTACAGCTTCAACCTATCTGCCTACAATAAGAAGAACTTCGAGCTTCTTAGAGGCAGAATCTCTCGGATGTTCGAGTCCTCATTAATCCTGGACTCACACGTTGTCAATGCCAGCTTCAAGAACAGGACTCAGGGCGGTGTGGCAAGGACTGGAAACGGAACAAGCGTGGGCAACACCAGTGCGATGGCGGTGTCCTCCAATAAGTCGCTAGAGCTCTGCCCTCTGGTGCCTCCCAATTTAGGTAAGTGAAAACACTCGGGACATTCCTGGGTTGTGTTAAGATGGCTCAATTAATAAATTATAGGTATTGTGACGCACACGCAACAAATGCCATTATTGTTAATGAGAGCGATTATCTTGGGTCACTAGAATGGTGTACTAAAACTTTGTCCTTTTAATTTCACTAAAATAAATCATCAATAATGATATTTTGAAATGAGCCCACAGGAAGCCTCAGATAGGCAGCCGACGGTTCGCTCAGACTGAGCTTCTTCAAGGGGGCTGAACACTGTTTCTTTTAGCGAAACATCGGCTACAACCTGAGGATTCCAAGAGTCTCTTTTTATCTTGTTTTTACCCGCTTCAACTCCTTCGCTTCGTCCAATTTATATTCTTTAAATGTATAATAAAGTTAGTGACATTGGAAATATGATATTCTCATAAAACAAGGAGGGAAAGGAGGTACCACGTTTCCGGTAACATTGTGGACTAACTGAAATAATGTAAATTAATATTAGGTCGCCCATGGAATGTTCACACTTCGTTTGTTCTTCCCTTCGAAAAAGGTAGCCATCGGTGAGAGGCCCATGGTCAATACTCAGTTGGCAGAGGACAAAAAAAAAGTGCACCTATATATTTCAAGTTTATATCTTCGTGCGACTTCCAGTTCGTTTTTCCCACGCGTGCTTCGGCCTTAAATGAACATGTGTTTAAATGATGCAATTGCCTTATAAAAAAAGTGTTTGTGCACTACACCTCTCGACTTCGACATAAAATGGGTGTCCACTTCTTTTTTTTTTCTAATAAATGTATATCTGTGAGTTCGGTTATTGTCTTCTATGTTTCATTTATCTTGTTTTCGTCTTTTTTGCGAACTCTTAATTTTTATCTTAGGCAAAACCAATTTCCCACAAGACTAATTCGATTGAGGGTGTGCTGTTCACTGCCTCGTTCATTTTCAATATCCATATCACCTATGTGCATTACCTAAAACCAAACCAAACAAAAAGACATAGGTTGTAGTAGGGCTCACCAAATAGTTTATATCCGTCATCATCCTCCAAGACGAATGTCCCAGCATACTTTGCCGAACAAGAAAACTTGTGTGTTGTCTTCTTCGGCTTCAGTTAGCCAAAATATCACCACTATTTACGCCACCTTCATAAATGCAAGTAAAACAGTAAAGTTACTCGAAATGTTTCAGTATGAAAATAAACGCCAATGACTACAAAAAAAGAAAAAAGAAAAACGAAGAAGCCAAAAATTATGCATATTATACCTTTTTGTATATGCATTTTGGGTATTGCAGGCTTTGCGGTAAAACTATATTGTTACGGTAAATTCGACAACCCCCTGGACGTCAAAGATATTGGCGGGCTAAATCCATACGGAACAAATGGTACTTTTTAGGGGGAGCACACCACGACTTTGTAATTTCATTTTTTTTTCCGGGTAGTTTTCTTTCAGAAGTCTCTGGGACGTTGCGTGGCTGCCGTGAAAAAAAGGTATAAATTAACCACCTCGCCAAATAGACTCTCCCTTGCTAGGGGTGGCATGTACAAAACATGCACCGATGAAACAGGTATCAAGGAACACTTTTTTTGTTTTAATCAAGAAGAACACTTGGAGGGTTCAGGACCGGTCTGTTGTAGTCAAGTACAACTGACGTATCATGTATAAATATGTTTATAGAGTGGTTTCATGCATAGTTGTCATAACTACGTATTCGCATTAAGCTTGAGTGCTGTTTTTTTAGGCTTTGGCCACAACTGTGCCCTCGAAGTCGTGTCAACTCCTTCAGACCACTCTGATCTTAACTACGCACAATTATCTTTAGATAATTTCAGCTGCAGAAAAAAAAAAGTTTAGCCGATCATAATGTGTGTGTGGGTTTTTTCTGCCCCACTCTTTCTTAGTTGGCCCCATCAAAGTTCTACAACAAGCCCCGTCGCTTGAGGAGATTGAGAATAACTTCACGCATGTCATGCCAGGAGGGAGGTTCAAGCCAAAGGAGTGCCTGGCCAGACATCGGGTGGCAATACTTGTCCCGTACAGAAACCGGGAGAAGCAACTCAATGTGTTCCTTCACAATATGCATCAGTTTCTGCCCCGGCAGCAGATAGACTATGGCATTTTTGTCATTGAACAGGTAGGCTTTGTGACAACTTTACTTTTTTTTCTTTTGTTTTCACGATGATGCTTGGAAGCGGCAGACGTCAGACCAGTTGTGAAAAAAAACAGCATAATATATACTAGGATGAAACACCAAGAACATTTAGAAAACGCGTCGTTAAAAGTCATAATGTTTCAGTGATGCAGACCTGATTTAGCTGGTTTAGATTTTAAGAATATATGCAGTTTGAATTTTCGTGAAGATTATGACCCGATGTTTGTAACCCAGAACATTCCAGAAAACCAAATCAATGTAGCCAGGGACGTTTAGAAGTTCACTAAAGAGGGTTACTATTTCGACAAACTTCACCCAATGCTGCCTTTAGTCTATGGTTGCTGAAATCCTCGTTTACCTGTCGACCAATCTGAGAACGATCTGAATTACTTTTTTTATTTTCTTAGTCTGAAACAAATTATTGGGGGCGCAGTTTAATATACAATAACTCAGAGGTTTCCAGAGACTGGAGCCTTTGCCAAAAACGTCACGCCCCCCCCCCCCTTCCCCTCCTCCCCCCCCCCCCACCCACCCTACCTACAAAAAAAGAAAAAAGAAACTCGCGTGTATTGCCTTGGAAATAGCACGGTAGTCGATATGCTTCTATCGCTAAATGGTACGAATTCTCGTGCCTTCACGTCAAAAAACGAATTGAAAGTGTCTTCAGAAATGAGAGGAACAACCGCTTAGTTGTTCGTCAACGCTCGCAAATCGGAAGTTGGATAACCAAGGAATTGCTGCTGCATAACAACCGCTGGCACAGCGCCACTGATTTCCAAATGGCGAGAAACCGAAGCTAGAAAGATTCTTGACGCTACCAAGATGGCCGCGCCACATTGTTACCAGACCTCGAAACAGTTTCACATATTGTCTATTAAGAACGGCTTAATTTTAGGTAGCAATCGAAGAGTGTAGTCCGTCGAAGCCGCACTCATTACGGACACAAACATAATGGCCATCATTCAACAGCTGTAACTTTCCGCTGTTACGCCCACCTGTTTTTAATGCATCAGAATTAGTGTCCTGGTGCATGCGCCGACCTTGGACTGGTTTGGAGCACATGTATTCAAAGTTCGCAACGTCGCCACAGGATGGCGCCACAGCCCCATTGGCTGTGTAAACTGTCGAGGAAACACTTTCTGGAAGCATCGATAGATGGCGGCGTGGTGCATATCTTGAAAGGCAAGGCGATTGGACGCATAGCAACCGAAGCCGCACTGGATTGGCTGGTTATAGACCAGTGTCCGCGCCAATTCCAGGGCGCCGCCATGTTTATCTACGCTCGCGCCACCACGCGGAGAGAACTGGCAGGCAGGAGGGGGGACTGCGTTGGCGGCGTTGCTTTGGGGAGCTGGATGCGGCAGGCTGTCCGAATGTACCGGCACATCGTGAAAGATGTCTTCACCAGAAGCCTCCGCGGCCCGTTCGTCAACAGATAAGATGTCGTGAACATTCGAAAACCCATCTCGATAAAGAAAAAAAAAAAAAAAAAAAAAAAACTTTCTTGTTTTAAATGTTCTCGGTGTCCGCAGACCCTTGACATCCGCGTTTCAGTCCGGGTTCATTGCGTACTAAATATTTCGCTACCGATTTCTTTTAGCTTTCAAACCTTGATTGTTGGCTTCTTGTATACGACATTACATTCGTGAAACGTTTGAGACCGATTTTTGCGATCTGCTTGCCTTTCTGCGGCAGCGCGGCTCTGCCGAGCCGAAATATGCGGGAGGCGTTCACTTGATCGAACGCCGTTTTAGTGAATGAAAACGAGACCACGTCGTTTCATCGAATGACTAGCGAATGGGTCTAGTTACATAGACAGCTCGGATTAGCTTTCGTTTGTAATGTGCCGCCTTGTCTGCCGCCGCGAAGCGGCGTGAACCAGGGCTCCGAGTATGTCAGCACGCGTCCCCCCCCCCCCCCCCCCCCCCCCCACACACACACGCTGCGAGCGTCTGGGTTCGAAACTATTAATTGCCAGTTCGAAAGGATGGTACTTACTTGAAGTGGGAGCTGGAATTCTACGAGGTACCAGGAGACACTTACTACCGGGCAACGATAGTAGGTGCCTGTGGGGGCGGAGTCTAGGAACGCTACTGATTAATATTGGGACAGGCGATCAGTTATGATAACGGACGAAACTTCTACTCGTTTGTTCAAAAGTTATCGGTGATATTTTATAAGCCCTCGTTACAGCACACCAAGGGTCTTCGGCAGTGAAATTCACATCACGCAGGCTCGTCCGTCGTAGTCAAATGAGCGCAGTCGACGACGAGGTGTAATGAGCTACTAAGCTTCACAAGGAAAATGCGCGTGAGAAAGAGTTTTGAGGCAGTCCAAAACACCGATCCAGCAGACGCACGTACAGTACGTACGTTTACTCCGGACTCCATGAACCCAACGGCGCAAGATCAAAGCGATCAAAGAGCACCGCCGCCATCGCCACCCGGTTTTCTCTACACTTTGCGCGACAATGGCACTGCAACGGAGGGCACTCGCCTCGGCGTTAACAATCCGCGAAATAAAATAATTTCCCACCCTTGAAGCCATTCCAAATGATAAATGAAAATACCTCGGCGTTGTAGGACATCTGACGATACAACTGTGCCGAGCGCCTGCACGGCATCGTTGTTGCTCGTGAAGGCCTGCTTATTTGTAGTTGAGACGATGATTCCACATCTTTCTCGCCACTCGTGGTGTTTGCAGTAACTTCGAAGGGCAGGGGAGTCTTCTCACGAGGGCGTTGAAGACACTCAACACCGGAGCCACCAAAGCAATCGCACAAACCGTCGCCATGTTTTCTTCTTCGTCACTCGCGGCGCGGTCAACTCGTCGCGAGATGTTTTCTGGCTCGGCTAGATGGAAACCAACAGCGGCAAAGTGGCGTAGGGACACACGGCTCTCACCATTATGGGCACTATACTCACATACCGCGGTAAACAGGACCGATGCCGGCGAAACGGCAGTCGGCACACCAGCGAAGAAGCCTTCAACGAGAAGTGGCGGCGCAGGCCGACGCAGCCCCCCCCTCCCCGTGAGCGCCTGGGTTCGAGATTATTGTTCGCCTTTGCTCCTTGCGGTCGAGGCTAAAAAGAGCACTTCCGGACACTGGTCTATAGGGAGCGACACCGTGACGTAACACCTAGCACCGAAGATCGCCGTCGACGTCTTGCTTTTCCAGTTTCGTCGCAGCGCAGTAATACGCTTTAGGGATACACCCGCCTCGTCGCCGCCCAAGATCCCTAAAGCGCGTGGAAACCTCCGCCCCCCCCCCCCCCCACACACACACACACACACTTTCAAGCCGCTTCGCAGCGACAGTCGGCGGATTCGCTAACTACAAAATACTAACCCACCTTGGTCCACCCGTACACGCCGCCTCGCGACGCCCTGCTGGTGGCCCAAGCACGCCCTAGCACCGTTCTCCCCCACTGCGCCTCGGTTGCTAGGTGTTACGTTACACCGTCACTCTGTATACCCTGCCAATCATGTGCGGCCGCCATTGCTATGCGTCCTATCGCCTAGCCTCTCGAAATAAGCGGCCGGGGTGCGGGTGCGCGCTTTGAACGCCCTCGAAAGCTCCTGCTGCCGGCTTTGGAGATCTCTGGACGTTCACAAACTGCAGTTCTGTTCTTCAGCCGGCAACGGTGTTCTTGACGCGGAGTCGTGTTTTCATGTCACCGGGCCGTAAGCGTACGATGTCGTCGCACCTGTATGCGCTACATGTATGCACAACAACAAAATGGCTGTGTCGTTTTCCGCGCATCGCGCGCAGGTCCTCTATGCACACGCTAAGTGACCTGATCTGCTTGCATCTGGTAGAAGAGTGACTTCGGGAATGTTCACCTCGCGGAAAAGTGCTGAGAGGATGCGTTCAACATACTTTGTTATATAGTATAACCACTGCATGAAATTCTGACGCCTTTCTTCGAGAATCAGCTTGGCAACTGCATGTAATATCTATCGGCCCATTTTTTTTTTGTTAATTTTTTGAGCACATGGGGATTACTTTCGCGCTTGCTTCAGCCTAATGCCGTCATCTCGTTGGTTCCGGAAAAATACTAAAATGGTCGGGACTCTCCACGTCCTGCATTTATTAAACTGCCAGAGACTTCAGAAATCAGAAATAGTTTTTTTTTTTTTTGGAAACCGTAATTAGAACAAAACCGATATTGAAATTCGACGGTGAACCGAAACGAAAACTGACAACATCAGTCGCGGTTACCGATCAATTTTCGCGGTTCCACACTAGCCGAGTGTTGGAAAAGAATAGAAACGGGGACGACCTGGGGGTTGTCGACCGAAAGATACATTTCGTAGGGTGTCCTGTTATGAACAAATTACAAGGTATCAGGCCGTTGCCAAGTAGTTTCTATACGTAGGTACGTTTAAAAAAGAAAGCGAGGTACTACAATCTAAGACGATGGGGGCGCTGCCGAGCACAATGAAGTTGAACACGAAATCGCAAACGATATATGATTGTGCTTCACTCAAAAAGAACGTGGACAGACAGGAATACACGACGTTTCGGGCGGACGCCCTTCTTCAAATGATAGACGCGAAAAACGGCAAGGAACAAGTAAGGGTCGTACGTATTACTGAAATGAGTGATGGGGCGCAGGCGAGCTGGTTTCCGTTCATGATTTAAGACAACGCTGAGACTGGGGAAAACAAGAAGGACACACACGACACGAAGACTTCGTGCTTGTCCTTGTTTTCCCCAGTCTCAGGGTTGTTTTAAATCATTAGGGAAGTACACGTCACAAAAATGGCGTAGCTAAATTGGTTGAGAAGGAGGGGAAGGCTAAACCGTCTTCTAACGGTTTCGCCTTCCCTTCTCCCTCGGCCAAAGTACCTACCCCCCTTTTTGTGACATGAACGACCCTTACTTGTTCCTTGCCGTTTTTCGTGTCCATCGCTTGAAGAATTGCGGCCGCCCGAAATGTCGCGTATTCCTTCTTGTCCACATACTTCTTCAGTGTATCACAATCATTTATCTTTTGCGATTTCGTATAGAATTTAAGTCACATTAATGAACAACTTAGTTTTGATTGGCAAGCTGTTCAATAAAAAGACAAAAAATGTCGATCAACAGAAATTGCGTTCGTTCGTGCGATGAGCGCTATGGCTTAGAGCAGCCTTTATTGCGTGTGTTAAAGGAGCTTTGCAACGATTTTAACGTTGAAAGAATTGGCATCTTCTGCTTTTGATATTGTTCACCTTGTCACGAATGACAGAAAACACACCTCCTTTCATCGAAATGTTGCGATTCCGCCGCGTAGTAATAGCGAGGCAAAACCTAGAATATTCCCCGACCTGCAGCCGCGAGCGGTGGCCTTGAGAAACATGCGGCATGACGTCAATGGGGAATCTTGTAGAAAGATAGCAAGTTGTGCGAATAGCTGCTCGATAAAAGGTAACTTTTTTAATAAATCTTGTCGTTCCAACATAATTATAAATGCGTCAAAAACCTGGTATCATCCACAAAACTTTTATTATACGCAGTTTCAGGGGCGCCATCTATCCTAGGTCCACAAAACCGTCAGCTCTATCAGCACCTCGAACGGCCGCCAAGAGCCGGAGGGGGAGGGGGTCAGGGCCGGACGGGTAAGAATGGTATGGCCGGACCCGGATGAGACTTTCCTCCTTTCAGCATATTTTTCGCGCGGCGCCCGCCAGCACGTGGTCACGCGGTCGCGAGCGGATGAGTTCTCGCTGCTCACTGAAGAGAGAACTTTTCCGGAACCCCGCGCCTACCCCATCGACGTCATGGCGCACGTGACCCGGAAGACGACGTACGAGTTGAGAGGCGGCAGAAACCTGGATCTTTTTCATTTTTTTAAATAAAAACTTGGGTATCCAGGCAAAATCTGTTTTCTGTAGTTTACTTCAGTAGTGTCAGGCATCAACTTTCACAATTATTTAGGCAACGCCCTGAAATTCTTGCACAGCTCTTTTAAGCTTAAATTTGTACGATTTCTAAAATCCGTTTTTATGCTGATGCTTCAAATTATAAAAGTGTTCTTTTTATTTTCAGCAAGTTGCTAATTGAAGTCACGTTTTTTACGAACTATAAAAAGTTAATCAACAAACTTTACTTAATTAGCTGACTTACCGTGACGATTTGCCCCTATCATGATGTCCCCCTGGCCGTATAACTCAACCGCACAAGCCGCATTAGTGCAGCTTTAATCAATTTGTTTTTTAAACAAAAATGTAAAACCGAAAATAACACACCCTATATAGACTCAGAGTGCCTATATTCATAATTCCCCGCGATGCACTCAGATCGCCATTCATTGATTTGTTTAACAAGTTCATCTAATATGAAGTGCGAGCGAAATAGCGCTTATTGTCATGTAGTCTCAGTATCAAACGGTGGACGCTTCTTTGCCGCTGGGAACACATCGTTTATCATGTTCCTCAACTTAAGTAGCAATGTTATTTTCCCGCTGTATTGCTTGTGATCCTGAGGGGCGTGAGTCGTGACAGAGTTAACCAGATACGGGGTACAATGTTTTTTTCGTTTTCTTCTTCAATTTTGTGGCGGGGTTGAAAAGCCGAAATGTAATAGACCCCAACTGAGTTCGTAGATTGCATCAAAACACTAATGCCGTGTCTTGGTTATGTTGCGCACTAAACCTATATTTCTCTCGGTCATGCTTCTGCATCTTCGTCTTCAGGATGAGAACGGGAAATTCAACCGAGCTAAACTGTTCAACGTTGGATACCTGGAGTCGCTGGCATTGTACGACTACGAGTGCTTTATTTTTCACGATGTGGATCTCGTCCCGGAGGATGACCGCATCCTCTACACTTGTCCCGAGAAGCCCAGGCACCTGTCTGTGGCCATCAGCACTCTGGAGTACAGGTAAGCTGCAACGGTAACGTTTTTTTGTCGGAAGGGGGTTTTAGTACGCATTGTTCCGGTATACCTACGATAGCGATTCCCGATAAGGATACGACGCCCGCTCAAAGGCGACGACAGAGTATCGGGTTTTGGTTGTAGGAATTATGGAACGACGTTCTAAAACCTTATGTTGAGAGTTGCCGCGTGAACATTATTAATTCAGTGACCTTTTTACAGGAAGACCCCCGTTAATATACGTGAAAATAGAAACCACTTTTTCGTGTTTCGTGCGCCTTGTTTACACAAAATTTAAAAAAAAAAATTCCAAAATGCCCGAGAATTGATTATTCTGGTTTATTATATTAATTACCTTGTATAAGATGCAATTTCAGAAGAGGTTAAGAGCCGTTCATATGTCACATTTTTGCCAAAAACATGACGTGAAGAAAATCGATTCTGCTGTTCAACGGTAAAAAGAAAACAACGTTTTATCCAACATTATCGGAAGCTACGCAATGTTTATTTAAAGAATGAGTTCAGGTGCCTTCGTTTCTGGTAGGTACTTTTTTAGTGTCTCTTATTTTATGTTAGGGGTGGTTTGGGAAATTGAAATCCCAGATTAATGTTGGGGGGGGGGGGGGGGTCGTCAATAAAGTTTATGTACGACGCAGTCGCGCGGGGTCTTGTAACTATATACCTTTTTTGTTTACTCTCTTTCCCAGCCATGTGGCAGGAATATCCGGTATGGGCGACGAAAAAATAATAAAAACATTTCAACCAGCAAATAGTAAATAAAATAGAGGTGAGGCAAAACAAGAATGGGTGATGGTTACGCCTATATCCTAACTGTATTATGTTTGCGTGGCGATAGCCAATGTTTTCGCCCATACAGTTAGTGACGAAATTCAACATGGCGCCGCCCTCGGGGAAAAGGTATATATCAACTGTAAAAAAAAAAAAAAAAAAAAAAAAGGCTGGCTGAAGTCTTCATTTTTAAATGTGCTTCCTTCTCGTCGCTTATGGTGCTGGCGGTGTCATCTAGCACAACAACCTGTATCAAAATGTTTTCGACTAAAATGCTCATGAGGTATGCTTTCTCATTTGAGAGTCACTCCATGTCAAACGTCCCAAGCGTTGCGCTCGACCACCTTCGGTTTCTAAAAAAACATTCATGGCCTTTTGCCGCATTGTCCGTAGCCATGCCCTAAAATATTTTTGATGAAAAACTTTTTTATTAACGGGAGCGCGGTTTTAACTTTTAAAAATAGCGTAAAACTAGGTATCACTCTATAATTTATGAAAAACCTGCGTCTTTATAAAACACCCAACAATATTTTTTTCTTAAATTTGTAAGGCTTTCGACTTGCAATGTTGTTGGGCTTGTGCAGTTTTGTTGAATTTAAGTACTAAAAACAATTTTTTTTTACTTTTGACATTTTTGTTAATTTATTAAAAAATAACTAATTGCTCCGGGGACTCAATATAACTTTTTACAGGCTGCCCTGCAGGTATATAATCTATAAAATTGTTTAAACCACTCAATTAAATATCTCGCAGTAAAAAAAAGAATCCCCCAATTGCCAAAAAGTGCGTTTTCACCCATAAACAGCCGTTTATTTCACCCTGAGGTGGTCCAAGTAAAAATACCAATTATAGTTGGTTTGGAAGAGCAATCGATCGTATTTTGATTCTGAAAGTTTAATCAAAGTAATTTTTCTTTGAAGCGAGAAAATAATTTTTGAAGTTGAACTCTCGCACCGCGACCCGGTGTCGTTTCTTAACGCCTCTTCGCCGCATAGCACGGCACTGGCGACGATAGCTGACACGATTGGGCCCAAAGAAAGAACGGAGTTTGCTGCCGCTTCCCCTTGTCCGTCTTTTCAGCTCCAAGGGAAGAAATGGCGGGCATCGAGTTGATAATCGGAGGTGCCGCCAGTGCCTTTTCCATAGCAGGCCCGTTGTGCCCTTTGCATTCGAGGGCGGCTCCTCACACTCCGAAACGCGATGCCTAATCGACGGGCAGCATCAGCTGACGTGGACTTCTAAAAGGGAAACGCGACAATATCACCGCGAAATCTAGCCGTTTCGCATACTGCGGTTAAAAGCGGAACTATTCAGCGACGCAAGAATTTGCTGTTTTAAAGCCGATTTAAACACAAAGGAGGCGCTTTTATTTATTAAATACTGCAGACCGCACGTGGTCCCAGGAAGATGGTTCTCGCCGTTGGAGACGTAAGCCTCCAACGGCGCGCATTCGTTAACACCATATCGCATCGTTGTTCGAGATTGCCCGTCCACTGGGCTTTTGTGTTGCTGTTTAAATAGTGTCCTGACGTTGACAATAGAGTGTGATTGCGATGTGTACGTAAGAAACAGCAAGCTTATTAGTGGATGCTCTTACCTGGCAGCGCCAAGCATCTGCTGATATCAAGATAGTGGAAGACCACGAGGACACTGCCGCGCAAAACAGTCTAAATAGGAAAATCCGTCAAGCAACAAGAGTGGAAAAAAAGCTTCTTCCCACCAAGATGTACCCAACCACTCGAAGTCCTACTGTCTACCTGTCTGCGCAAACTGTGACACCGTCGCACACTTTTCCAGGCTCGACCGGTGGCGTGCTGAGCAGAGAAAAGGCGCAAGAATCCATGCCAGGTTGCGGCGCGAGACCTCAACTTCAAAATGTTTTTTTTGTTTACTTTTTAGAACAAAATTATTTTATTTAAACTTTCAAGAACAAAAGGCAACAAACTCTTCTGTAAAAGTCACCATGTTTCGTTTTTTTCTTTGGGCCACCTAGAGGCAGAATTGACGGCTTTTGAAACGGCAAAACGCAATTTTGCACATATTTAGTTGTTTTTCTGCATATTTAGCTGTACGGCCTGAAACCCCTTTTTTATTCTTTTGTACAGTATACTTACAGCTCCGTCAATAAGAATTTTTAGAGTCACCTGCAGCAACGAAATAGTTTGTAGCAAAACTATCGAAAATGCTAAAATTCTTACATATTCCTTATTTTTTTTAAATTGCTTCAAGCCAATATTCATTATGCTTATTACATGGACCGTGTGGTTTTTAGGCAAAAATATTCCACCTTTCCATAAATATATCTTACTTCTCACGGAGAAGTAAGATATATTTATGGAGAAGTCCACGTCTCCTGACGCATTGAGAAGTCCACGTCACCTGATGCCGCCCGTCGATTAGGCATCGCGTTTTGGAGTGTGAGAAGTTGCCCTCGGATACAAAAGGGCACGGCGGGTCTGCTATGGCTACGCACTGGCGGCACCTTTGATTATCAACACGCGTCCCACCGTTTCTTCCCTTGCAGCTGAGAAGACGGACAAGAGGAAGCGGCAGTAAACTCCGTTCTTTCTTCGGACCTAATCGTGTCAGCTATCGTCGCCGGTGGCGTGCTGTGCGGGGAAGAGGCGTTAAGAAGCGACGCCGGGTTGTGGTGCGAGAGTTAAACTTCAAAAATTGTTTTCTGGCTTTAAACAAAAATTTCTTTGATTAAACTTTCAGAATCAAAACACAAGTTCTTAAAAACCCACCATATTTTGTATTTTTGCTTGGACTACCTCAGGGTGAAATAAATGGCTGTTTATGCGTAAAACGTACTTTTTGGCAACTTCAGGATTTTTGCTTACTGCGAGATAATTGTTTGAGCGGTTAAAATTTTTTTTTATAGATTATATACCTGCAGGGGGAGCCGGTACAATGTTCTCTTAAGTCCCCGGAGCAATTAGATAGTTTTAATTAAATAACAAAAATAACAAAAATTTTGAAAAAAAAAATAAATCTGTTTAAAAAATATATTTAAATTAAACAAAACTTCCCAAGTCCAACCACATTGCAAGTCGAAAGCTGTGGAGATTTAACAAAAATATTATTGGGTATTTAATAAAAAAATAAGATTTTTTTTATAAAATATGAAGTTATACCTAGTTTCACGCTATTTTTAAAAGTCAAAAACCACGCTCACGCCATAATGTTTTTTTTCGCCAAAACTATTTTAGGGCATGGCTAGGACAATGCGGCAAAAGGCCATGAATTGTTTTTTTTAGAAATCGAAGGTGGTCGAGCGCAACGTCTGGGACGTTTGACATGGAATGACCCTTGACTAAAAAACCCCGAGACTGAAAACATTCTCGGGGTTTTTACGCAAATGTTAAACCACCACCAACTCGTTTGCGCCCTAACCTTTTCTTCACTATGCTTTCTATTGTTCTAAATAAAGGTTAACACTGGTTGACAAGAGTCGCCTTAAAGCTATTTGGTTTCTCGTGTGTTTCCTACGCTCCCCAACTACCCCTTAGAGCATCACTAACCGGTCGCAGAAAAAGCGGTGTTAAGGCAGAAATTGGCTCAGTTTCTAGACTACACTGCGTGTTTCCTGTGTTAAACAGACCTGTATGCAGTGTGCATTGTCATGTGTAAATCTAAAATTGTTTTTCGTGCTGGAAGTGTCTATCAGCGCAATGGCATGAGTGCGCTTGTTTTTTGTGCTTGTGCTTCAGTTATTTTAAGTATCTATTAGCGCGATAATATGAGCAGCTGTGTTAGTGTTTGTGTTTTCATCTTAGATTTTTTTTTGCGATGGTATCCTTCCCCCAACTTGTGTCCGGGAGGCAGGAGCTTGTCGAGCTACAACAACTGTTTGTCCTCGCTGTCTTTTTTTTTTGTATAAACCAAAAGAAAAAAACCGTCCTTGCATACATAAAAAACGTCACGCACACCGATACTGTGATGCAATATTTAATTCCATCCTAATATGTTAAATTCTCAGATTTGCCTATAATTTCTAACTGTTAAATCCTTTAGCTATGTCAATGAGGAAAACATTATGAATATTTGGTGTCTTGAATGCAGCACAAGGTCACATTAATCACCATGTGTGAAACTTCACACTGTAAAACACGAAAACAAAACAACACAATTAGGGCCTGTAACCTGCTTGAAAAAGATTAATTTAATCAGGGCGCGTGTACACTAATAATAAGGCATACATGTTCGTGCATTATGACAGTGGTAAACCTCTTTCTCTCGCACTTTACATGTTTTCGTCAGATTAACCTTTGTTCATCTCCATTTGAGATATTGTCTTTCCAAATTTAATCAATCTGTGCACTTGCGTTTGCTCGAGTTTTACACATGCTGAACAAACACCAGGTCACTCACACTTTCGTTTTCAAAGTAAAATATTTCTGAATGTTCTAAGGGTGCGGACCGCCGAGATACAATACGTAGTGAAACACAAGGAACACGCCTGGTTCTTTTGGCTCACGTATGTTTTTGCCAGTTTACAGTGTGCTATCTTTTATGTGCTCATTTGACAGAAACATTGCAAGAAGTATTTGATTTCAGTTCGAAGTTCAACACTTTCTGGACATCGTAGCATACGTATGTAATAAAAATATGTTCCATACTTTTTGCCTTGCAGGCTGCCCTATTATGGATATTTTGGAGGAGTTAGTGTCCTCAGCAAAAAACACATGGAATTTGTCAACGGATTTTCGAATCTATACTGGGGATGGGGTGGCGAGGATGACGACATGTTTAACAGGTGAGGACGCACTAGTTGATATACTGTTTCCACAAGGTACACACAAAGCAACTGAAAGCGAACCAACGACCGCCAGTTTCTTTTTTTTTTTCAGCGGATATTGCTAGATGTCCTCTCGGGCAAAATCCGGTGGCTTCCAAACCCAAACACCCGTGCACTTTGATGGCGGGGAGAATGTTTTAGCGCCGCCGCGCTGTCACTTTTTCCCCACCGCCATCGCCCCTCGCACATTAACGCTCCCTTCCCCGATTATCCCGCAATCAAGGCAGCGCGTCACGTATTTCCTAAAGCGCATCCGCTACAACTAATTCTACTAAAAGCAGGCCTCCTCAAGAGAATATTTTAAAACACAACGACTAAAAGCGAATCTCCTAAAGCACGCCTCCTTCACCTAATTTTACTAAAAGCGAACCGCATTCAGCAAATATTCTAGGTATGTTTATGGACCATATTAAGCTTCTGCATTTATTAGAACATCATACCAGAGATATGATGATTCGAGAATTGAAAAGGGTACAAAAGAAATAGGCTACAGAAAAAAACGCGTAAACTAGTATGTTCCAGTCACCCACTTCTGTGAAAGTAACGCCTGCAAAGAATGTCCACATCATGAGGTTCTCAGTTTCCCTTAACTGTTGTTTATGACCATTTTACGAAAATCTTAGTGTATTTTAGTAAGACGGCGAATATTTTAGTCAGTTTCGATTCTGTAAGAAATATTGTTGCATATATATGGTGTAGATAACATCTATTAAATTGGGCTCCTTGAATAAAACGTTCCTGACTGATATGGGGCATAACAGAATGTCAGGAGAAATTAAACCTTCGTTTATCTTTTAAACATATTTTTAGACCGTAGAACCCATATATACTTTATTCATTTTCTTAAAATTCCAGTAATGAAACTCTATGGCTTGTGCAACAAAATTTACCACCGTTCTTCTGTTGCAGTTGATTTTGCCACACCATTACCGACTGTTTTTATCCGAACCTAGTAGACAGGACTAATATGTTCAGGGCGTCCGTATTAGTTTTTATGTTGTTTTTGTCAGAACGAAGTTTCGAACTTTCTTTTCATCGTTTTTATTTGGGCATTGTACTGAAAACTGTTAGCCACTGAAACCTAAGATAAATACCTTGTGGACATAACTGCAGAACGTCCATGGAACTGTGCGTCACGCTCTATTTCCTTAATTGTGTTAGTGCGACATTTCTTGTAAGATTTTGGGTGAGACTAATGGCGAGCATTTGTTCTATTACCTGATCCATATTATAACACCTTTTTGAGTAGCCGAAGTTTACTTGGTAGCAGCAAAACACTTTTGGAGCGCCAGCATACAATTCATTCTCATTTATTTCAAAGCAAAAAATAATGTTAAGAATTCTGTGTTTGTCAATACACCTTAAGGACCATACCTTATTTGCTTTCCTACTTCTGTGCAACCCTTGACCAGCATCAATCGCATGGCAGACAGTTTGATTCTGTCAAACACTCGACTGTTTATCTAGTTATGCAAGCCCCAACAAAAATGTACAATCAGTGAGCAGGCGGGTTGGTGGAAGTTTACAATTATGATTTTAACCCGAGACCGGGGCAGAAGGAGGGAAAATGTTTTACAGTGAAAAAAAAAGTAATAGGAACAGACAACGTCCCCGTCGTTGTCTCTTCCTGTTACTTTTCCTTCCAGTGTAAAAACATTTTCCTCCGTCTGCCCCAGTCTCGGGATGAAATAATCGTGACAACTAGAATGTTGGTAAAAGGACAAGAGGCATTTTTTGTTTTAAAAGAAGAAGGCCGATTGCTGCAAGTACATTTGAAAAACATCCGGAATATTGAACGGCTTAGCACGAATGTCAGTGCATATTTATTTCATGCAGGAAAAAAAGGTAAGCAACAGAGTATTCCACCAAAAGAATGTTACATTAACATTATTTTGGACACAGCATTGAATGTCTTTTTCGAGCTCCGAAGATTTCAAAAACTGTAAAAAAAAAATTGTTACGTCGGCTTGTTGGTATCGCATTTTCCGGAGTCCACGAATGTCTGGCGAGAAGCGCACTCAGCGGAACTAGCTAGCCCACCCAGACACACGAATTATAAATATTGCTGAAGTTCCTTTAACTCAAAATGTTTGATACTAAGATGCAAAGTACGTTACTCAACGTAATAATCTAAGGATAAAAAAAAAAGAAATTGTAAATGTTTGTACCAACGATTGTAGGGGAAGAGACATTCAACTTTATTGAGGAAGTGCATAACCCTACGGCACAATGTTGATGCAACTTCCATACATTTCGGTTAAACGTAGCAGAATGTAGTAAATTGTAGCTATTTGACGCAGTATGTCGCAAATCGTGCAGCAGTCACATCACTGCGTCGCTTCTTCTTGAATTAAGACTAAAAGTATTGACGTGCACATATATTGCTTTGATATAGTAATCCACAATAACTGGCTTGGCTCTGGTATAAGCCTCCACTTCGACAACCTCAAGAACTATTCTCTGTTTGGGTATGGATTTAACATAGCGAAAACTCCAGTCGGTTTATTTAAGCTAGAACGTTATCAGTACATGTTCTGACCGGACGGGTTCGGGTTTCCTCTAATTAGAAGCTTTCTCATTGGCGCAGGCTGCAGCACTCCAATTTAGATATCACAAGGTATCCTGCAGAAATTGCAAGGTACACAATGCTAGGACATGTCAAGGAGACTCCAAGTCCTGAAAGGTGGGTTTACAAAATATTTGGTAGTACACAGGTGTGCTTCGTTTGTTGGTTTGGTTTCATGCAAGAACGGTTGACCGCCTTGTTTATTTGTAGTAATAATTAAATAACTAAAAAAGGAAACTTGTGTTAGTTTTTTTCACATCCCTAGGGCTAAAGGGAACAGTACAAAAGGGGCAAAATGAATTATTAGTTCGCTAATTAAGTAGATACATTTGATCAACTGTTCATTTTTGTTCTTGTTTTGGGGGGATTTTGGATGATTGACGCTCGACCTCATTATTGTCTAGTCATGGCGCAACATTTTGTTTAATTAAATAACTTTAGCGTGGACTATGGGGCGAGACCAGCGAAGCGCGTCTGCGATGTCGATCGCTCCAATCTGCGAGAGACTCTGATCAGAAGGATCACGGGCCGCAGGTGGCGCAGCATGCGTTTCTATTCGGCAAATAAAAATGTAATTATAGCAGTTAACGACCGTTGACACATACAGCGCAGTTAAGCGCTATTGACACAACGTTGATGGCTAGTATGAAAACAAACTGAGTAAAGATTTGCATTTTGTGTTTGTTTAATATGAATACGAGCTTTCTGAAAACAGCTCAAGCCAGAAAAAAAAAAGAAGAAAAGCCTGATACATTGGTGTGCATATTGCACTGAGAGCTTCACTATTGTTGGTTGCTGGTTGTTGGTTGCCCTTCCTGAGAAAGGAACAAGTTCTGGTCCCCAAATAATGGTTTAATAGTCGAGGCTTTTGGCCAAATGGGTTCCTTTTCCTTCTTTCGATATACAGGGTTACTTTTTTTTATGGAATACTGATTTCTTTTTTTAAATATTGCTTGAAAGCTACAGAAATGTGGTCTGCGCGAGTTATACGACCAGGCGAACATTATCTTCACAAAAGAATGCAACTAAGGAAGGACTGTAATTAAGGAAATTTCACTAATTACTCGTTTCTTTGGACGCTTTAAAGAACATATTTATATTGAAGAAACGTAGGCAATCAATGTTGAAAGCCAAACCATTTCTTTATAAATTCTGGGAAGAGCGTGCAGTTCGAGTTATTGATTGATAAATTTTGTTCTGAAAATCTGTCGATATCAAAACCAAACGCGCGATGCCCGCCAGAAGGACAACCCTCGTTTGGCGCCGGAGGGCAAAGTGTTAATGACAAAATTTGCGTCACTATTTTGAGTCAAAGCGCGCCGGAGCCGATTGGTGTCGGTGTTCCGTGATTGGGGAACTAAAGCGAGACGCCACCTTACCTACCGCGACAAGTGACTTTGCTTTGCTGCGCGGTGCCACCGAAAATCGTTTTAATCATGGGTGCAAGCCAGTTTATATATAAAAAAAAAAAAAAAAAAAGAAACTGCTTGATTATGGGCTACTCCAGAAAAACTGAACGCTTCAACGCGCTGTGACGCAAAAGCTACACACATTTCGTCATCAACACGTGACCATCCGGCCTTACACGAGGGTTGTCCTTCCGGCGGGCGTCGGGTGTTTGGTTTCGGTATTTACAGATTTGCAGAACAAAATTTGACAATAAATAACTCGAACTGCGTACTCGATTTAGTCTTTTTAAAAGCTGGGCTACCCTTCGACATTGATTGCCTTAATTTCCCTAATATAAACATGTGCCCTAAAGCGTCTAATTAAAAATGTAATTAGTAGATTTTCCTTCATAAGTAATTTATTAGTTGCATTTTTTTCTTGAACATAATTTCCGCCTTGCCGTTTAACTCATTTGTGCAGACCGCATTTAGGTAGGTTTCACGGCTTTTTTATTTAAATTTGTATGCAATCAAATGAAATAACTAAGCACCCTGTATATGTCACGACCACGGACGACAGCACACCAAGGGCGGTCATAAGTCATGCCTATCCCTTATGCTTAAGTATAAAAACAGTATGCTTCCCTCAACCCTTAGAAGAAGATAAAGTCGGCCAGAGATAATAAGGGCTTTTGTGGCGACGTTTACTGCTGATTATTTGTCATCTTAACCTTGATTCCTTATAGGGTGACTCCCACAATGAATGTATTTCTGGGGAACGGTGGTGCGCATATTAATCAGACACGACTGTAGATCATTGGGAGGTAGTATTCTTTATGCTAACTTGTAATGTTTGCACCTGAATGCACATCACTAACAATCTTTTTAGGAGGCGTAATTTTGAGAATGGATATTGTACGTTGATTCGTGTTTTGACCAGGCTTTTAGTGGTACTATGCACATTATATAGATCAACAGCTTGCAGTTCCATGTAGAGATGTAGGCACATATTTGTGAAGTGATCAAAATGCATCTTAACTGGAATGAGTAAGTTCTAAACGTCTTTGTGAGCATTGGCATATTGAACGTTTCGTGCACCTTTGTGTGGAGCGGAGAGGGGCGGGGGGGGGGGGGGGTGGTGAAAGGTGGACTAAAGCCCCATAAGCACCACCCCTCTCTACGCCACGGGTGAGTCTTGATAATGGTAATAGATTCTCTGCACCTTACGCTTTTCTTTTTTGCGAACGTCTCCCCCGATAGCTTGACATACTACTTACGCGTAATTGCTCTTTTAGGTTCAGGCTTCTCTCTGGTGCAAGGTCACGATACCGCAGAGATGGACTAAACAGTGTCAAATATGAGAGGAAGAAGCTAGTGCTCAAGAAGCTCTATACATGGATTTTGGTTGACCTGAAAGCCCCGTAATGACAAGGATTTCACGTCTTCCCCGATGGCTCCAATATCTCCGCGCGTTAAAGACACCAGTGCGTGCGGAATGTAAATACGTGAAGCCCTTCGATAATGTCAAGTGCTGCAAAACTGTCTTTCCCTGCAGAGCTTGTGCAGCCCCTCCGTGACAGATTCAGGTCAGTTAATCTAGACTGACGAGCGTGCTATTTGAGTTGAGGAACACCGAAAGAGTAAGAGAGGCAGCATGATGGACAACGTACACTTTCAGCTAGTAACAGTACTGTTGTAGTGTTGCTAGTTGAAGGAAAGCGTACGTCGGGCCTCGCCCCACCTGTGTCTTATTTTTTCAGTGTTCTCCTGGTCAGTTAAGTGAAGAGTTCAAGAAACCTTTTGCTTCAGAACAATACAAGGTGCTTCAAGGGTCATCTTGTCAGTAATGCTAGTGCTTCGACTGCACTCAACAAGTGCTTCAATATTAAAACATACAGGCTATACTTCGACACTCATAAGTCTATTACCCAACCATTTAGAAGCTTAGTACCAAGCAGTGCTTTCTTTAAGGAATGCTGTCGTTCCTTTTGTGTTACCCGATCAAGGTTGTGTTCATTTTTTACAGTATATAGCAATAACATTACTACCTGTCATCACCTCAAGCTCAAGGTGTGAACATAAAATCATTCTTTTTAATTGCTTGGGTGTTGCTTGGTGGTTGATTTGGGAGTGAATGAAGATCGATTGGTGGGGACCCTCAAGGAATGCGTTAGCATGACCCTTGGGAGACGCCACACAGCTTTTGGAAGTGCTAGAGGCTCTGTTTCTGACGCTGAGCGCCGAGAACGTCGCGTAGCGCAGAACGTGGGCCTTTGATTATTGGCCGGCGACCGAAAACTCGACATCTGCGACCAGTCATTAGCGGTGTCTGCTGCGCGACGCTGCGTTTGCTACGCTCGACGTCGAAGTATAACAGATACTTGACGCTGACCCCTTGACTTTTCTGTTTCGGCTTTCTCTTTTGACTGTCTCTTTTGCTTCCTCTGTTTTTGCAGCCTCTTTTTAGCCTCGTTACGGGGTCAGTGTTAGCGTTTCTCGAAGGGAGATGTGTCTGGCGTTTCCCAAGGGTCATGCTAACGCATTCCCTAAGGATTCATTAATGGATCTTCTTCTAATTTTGTTCCGGCCTTGGGAATTCTCGTACGGCCACCTTGCATGCTTATCAGCGGCATCCGCTGCCTGACGCTGCTTTCGCTTTTTGCCAGTCTCGGCAGCCCGTCTCTTTCATTCACAGTCCGTCTGCTTTCGCCGCCTACTTGGACCAGCGCTAGTACTTGGTTCACTCGCCTCAGCACCCACGAGCGCACAGGCTTCCGCCCCGTGACGCCGCCTCCCTCTCGCCTTTGTCCTCCACTACTATCATCCTCTCTAGGCGGTGCGCTTCCCTTTCCACTATTTTGTCCACAGAAGGACGCCGTCTGCATAGAACCAATTCGTCTAACCCTTCTTTTCTCTGGTGCCAGCATGCCTAGCCATCGCATGGCTTCAGGGCCCTCCTTTATAATGAAGAATTGAGAAAGGGTGAGCTCCCAGATCGGTGACCGCTGGCGTGAGCCGTTCTTAAATGAACGCTTATTTTTGCGCTGATTTTAGATCAAGCGCATCGCGTTATGGCAAGGAAGAAGAAAGCGAGATCGACTCATGCAATCGGGTCCCCCAGTCGAGCATCCAGTGTTAGGGTTTTAGGGGAAATAGTTGCAGGATAATAAATAACATAGCTTTTAATTAAAACCGGGTTTTGATCTTTGTTTACCCGAGCTCTATTTGATTTGTCTCATGAGCAATTCTATCACTCGTCATTGATGGGAGCTATGCATTATCCAATCATTTTATGGTTTGCTCATGAGACCCCCAAGATTCCAATTATATTCATATCTGCCCCTTTTGGAGTCCGTGGAAAGACATTGCTTCTGGTCCTTCTCTAAGATTTTGTAAATGAACGCTAGCGCGCTCCAGCTGAATTCAGTGTTGAAATTGGCGTTGACTTAGCAAGAACTGAACTACTAAACAATGAATGACGACGAAACCGACTAGCCGCTATGCTATTGCGCATTCACGCCTTGCCCGATCATAGCCTAAGCTTTTTTCTTCTTCAAGTGGGCAGAAGGTCTTCGAAATCTCGCGCTCGCAAGGTCTTTATCATATTACCCTCGACTGTGCTGGGGAGTTTCCTATCTCATGGCTGCTAGCAGTAGCATCTTGTTAACACAGGGAAAGCAATAGTCTTGCATTTATTCTGGAAGTGGGAATTTCATATGTTGTTATATGTTTAAGTTAAAGCAACAAATTCAAATGCTTTGGCGGCAAATATATATATATATATATACATACATTTTTTTTTTGTTTTTTTTTTGCGACAAAGTTGCGTTGTAGATGTGCCATCCTCACAATTATTTTTACGTTGTCCAGATCATTTCGTTGAATCCAGACTTGTACATGTTGCTTTTTCTTGTTTCCTCTCGTTCTTGTGCCATTAATATTCATTATTCTATTGTCTTTGGTTTCTTGCTCAAACCTTTAGTTGTGTAATCCAGAAATTAACGCCAGAACTTTGAGAAGTAATAAAGCGAAACGATTGCCACTTTTGATGCCCTGAGCAGCTGTCCCTATGTTTGCGAACCTTTATATTGTCAGACGATTACAGCGATGTGTACAATTTAGTCACGGACGACTTCATAGTACACAGAAAGCTGTTATTTTTTAGCATTTCTTTTAACCTTTTAAAGGGATACTACAATAAAATGTCGGCGCTTATTTCTTGGTCTTTAATTGTTTCAGGGAGCACTATCACATCGAACACCTCAGTCTCTTGTTGAAGAAGACACGAAAAACAATTTTAAAGGGAATTAAACGATTAGCAGATGGCGAATGGTGGATGTCGATAAAGCCTCGTTTGTAATGTGCATCTAGGAACATTTACAGGTAGTGACGATGCCTGTATCGCGTACAACTATAGCCTCAGTGGTTCCTCATGCGTGCAAGCATGTGCACCGTGCACGATAACGTAGCTTTGGTAAGCTTGTAATTGCTCGCACTTGCCCGCACGAGTAGGGAAGTGCCGGCAGCCAGATGCCCTGCTTGCAAAGTAACGTTGCCTGCTTGCAATCGTCTTGTCGACGTTAGTCTCGCCGCAGCTCTGCTCGAGGCTACGTCACGATTGCGCCGGATGTAACGCGCTTTCCGCTGGATGCTCTCCGAGCGCTTGCCAGAGTGGGCCGTGTGTAACAAAAAATACAAATGTGAGATTGTCATTTACGGATGTTGTGGATCTTATTCAGCCTATTCCTAAACACAAGTATATTCCAAATTTCGTTGAAGTATCCCTTTAAAAACCCACTGACAACCCCAACATCAATTTTTGTTTATTACTATTATTATTGCAAACGACTGAAAATAACTCCCCAGGGATCGCCCTAAAGATTTTAAGTTTGAGAACTGCTTATTTGCAGAGAAAAGAAACATATTATCAGAAGGCTTGATTTGAAACGCCCGCCCGAATCAATGAAGTAGTTAGCGAAATGGGAAGCGTCGTTTAACTTTCTCTTTTTCTCTCTCATCGTTCATGGGCACAATCGTTCATGGGTATGAGCACGTGACACCCGGTCAACCGCGATAGTATTTGCCGAGACCTTTCTTTGCGTGCAGACGACGCGTCACTTCTCAGTGCCTTTTTGTTAGCAGTGTTAGTCGGTACACAACAATTAAAAAAAAAAAAAGTTAGGAAGAGAACACCGTCTATACTTCGTTTGAGCTTCCGTCCGAGCGCAGCCAAAGCCTGAGGGACGGTTCGCAACATCGGGAAGAGCAATCCTACGCACCACAAAGTAGTCCGCAAAAGTAATTCTTTTAAAATAACAGTTTTGTGCGTAAACATTGCACAATATTCCAGACGTGTACTGCTGAAAATAATTTGCAACTAAAGGAATTAAATGTCTGAAGTTTATGTTTTTATTAAAATATGTAAATTCATGTGGTCTAGTGAAAACACGTACATCCGCTGGCAAGACGGCTGCAGCGCTCGGTTTTGCTGTGTGATTTCGTTCCCGTAATTGCCGAATTATGTGCTACGGTGCTTTCCTCACCGAGTCGCTTCAAAACGTCCTTTCGCAAGGGCACGTTTTGGCCTCAGGCGCGGTCGTGATCAATGTCTACTTTCAAATCCGGCGGGAGACTCCGGCCGCGTCGTACCGTGAATGCGTTGTAAACAAGAAAAGCGTCCGGGCCACTACAATTCACTAATACGCGGCGAAATCGGGGCACCCCTTTACCTGCCGATCACATTAACGCCGAGAAACTGATGGAAAGGACCGCGTCTCGAGCCCTGGTATATCCATACAATACAAGGAAACATCAACGGCCGGGTCATCGGGCACCTTGCAATGTGTACTTGCATCTCGAAACTACGCCGAAATGCCGAACAGGTGGAAAGCTCGAACACAGACGCCAGCGGCCAGCCTACGTACTGACATGCCCTGCGACTACATTTCAGAACGTGAAAGGGCACCTTTCTGACCTGTAGCAGACGATACCGTTGATACACCCGTAGCAGACGAAATACTCGGCGAGCGCGGGCGGCGCGGACGACCAGCGGCGCCGCGGAGTGAAACGAAAGTGCAGGCGAGATCGCGTGACCTATTGCCGGCGTGTGATTGGCTCCGGCCACACGTAGCTTTGGCTGCGCTCGGACAGAAGATGAAACGAAGTATAGTAGCCCTTCCTGAGCGACGTGATTAATGATATCGCAAATTTTCTACGTGAGAGGTTATCCGAAATGCTATCCGGCACCGAGAAAAACGACTCGTCCGAGCTGTTTGGATGCGATACAATTAGTTGCATTGCATTCAACGGCATGCATTTTAAAGTTATGATGTTAATGCAATTAGTTGCGTTGCATTAACATCATAACCTTAAAATGCAGGCCGTTGACCCTTGTTTGGTGTTAGACAGGTGGCAGCTCATGATCA